ACTATACCAACTTCTGGCCAAATCTTTCTGCTTATTCCTTTTTGTTCCTGATTCCCACTATAAAGGTGGGGGGATCAATGATACCCATAAGGCTGACCAGAAAGCTATGCTGCCTTGCTCCTGCATGTAAACTACTGTAATTTGCCCCCTTAAACTCAGCCTTCCACAGTCTGAGTGAACATGGACAAAATGCAAATCTTTTGCTGTAAGTAACAAGGGTATCCTCTAGTTCTTTCCAGTAGATGCATTTCCATCTCAAACTACATCAGCATCCCTTTACTGTTTGCAATTTTATCAGCATCCTGCTCTTCTGAGCTGTGCCCTTAAGCTTTTTAAGATATGCACAAAACATTCCACACTCATCCTCTGGACTTTTTCACATTATCAGGTGTAATTATACCAATAACACCAGCTCTTGATACCAGTTTCTGGGTTAGTCAGCTATCCACTACTACAAAACACACTTGAGACAATCAACTTGTAAGAGAAAGGGTGCATTCTGGCTCATGGTTTTGTCCACACTGCGTTTGCTCCACTACTTTGTATGAGCACGTAGGAAAGCAAAACCATTCACCTCATGGCCAGGAAACAGGAGAAGAAAGGGTGTGGGGTCCCACCATAACCTGAAGACTTCTCACCAGATCCTATTCTGAAAGTTTCCACCTCCCCCGAACAGCACCATGGGCTGAGGACCAAATCTTTAACACATGGGCTATTCACTCCAGAGCCAGATTATAGCAGCACCTGAAACATTAACTTAAATACAACAGTTCAAACCATTTTCAGAACTAAAGCATATAAAAGTTTTGCAATAATACTGAAGCGGGTTGCCTTGTGCCTCCTCCCAACACTAGTTACTGTAATCTTAACGTAGAAATCTTTCCCAATGTAAGAATCCCAAATGAGATCACGTAAGATTGAAAGTGGGCCCCCAATCAAAGGACTACTGTCCTCCCTGAGAGAGATTTGAAAGGGAAGGGCTTGTAAATTACAGACAGAAATTGGCAGTGATATGCTTATAGTCAAAGAAAACGAAGGCTTGCTGGCTACAACCAGCAGCTAAAGGCCAGACAACAGAATGGATTCTTAGAACCTCCAGAGAAAAACAACTTCTACCACCTTGATTTTAATTCAGGTCTACAGAACCGTGTCAAGTAAACTACTGTTGTTTTATGCCACCAAGTTTGTGGCAACTTCTCGTAGATGCGAACATAAACTAATATAAAATAAAGTACCTCAGTAAAGTGGCCTTTTAAGCCCCTGGAAAAAATCAAAATTTTTTTCCAAAATAACAATGAGGTTCTTAAGAAATAAAGAGATCTGCTGGGCATGATGGTGCACACCTTTAGCTGCTTAAGAGGCTGAGGCAGAAAGACTTCAACTTTGAGGGGTTCTTATGGGCAACTGAACACGACTTTGTCTCAAAATAATAAGGCTGTGATGTAGTTTGGTGGTAGAGTGCTTACCTAGCATGCATGAGGTCCTGGGCACAACTCTAGGCATGGAAGAAGGCACACAGAAGTTTAATTAACTAAAACCTGGCTTATAAGATTTTTAATAAGCAAACAATAGGAGGGCAGCACATGCTGTCCTCAAACCTGCAATCCTCCTGCATCAGCCTCCTGAGGAATTGCATTTACAGGTGTAAAACACTGCACCCAGCCAAGAATATACAATTTTAGAAGACGCAACAATCAAAGTTTTACCAATACAGATTATAACTTTCAAAGTACTACTTCTAAAGAAAATAATCATGGCTAATAGCAGTTGAAGTTTATGACTGTATTTTCACTACAATGTCTTACTGTTTTAAACAGTGAAATTTCACTTTGAATATTGTTTATTGTATAGAAAAAAATTTTAATCAAGTGCTTCCCTTTACCCCTGTGCTATACTTCTAAGTTATCCAACTTTGCTTTTTGTTAAGTCAGAGTACAGTAAAAGTATAAAAAAAAAAATCAATTCGATGACCCTAAACCATGAAGTAAACCCTCAAGGTCCAAACTGGATATTCTGTGGTTTTGCTTACCTATGAAACCTACTATCTTCAATCAGCAAATAAAATATGACAATGCATATTTTCTTTTAAAAAATATTTCATTTACAAGATAAATGTAAAGTTTTTCTGAAAAAAAAAAATTTCTCCCCTACACCAAACAGGATTGAAACGAGAGCCTTTGCACTGAGCTCCATCTCCAGTTCGTTTTTGATTTTGAAAAGGGGTCTCACAAAGTCAATAAATCACCAGACTGCATGGGCTGGGCCTGAACTTGTGACCCTCCTGCCTCAGTCTCCCAAACTGCTGGTATTACAAGAATAGGCCACGACACTCAGCATTTTAAAGTATTTTAGACTAAATAAATACTGTTTTCAAGTAATTAAAAATATTTTTAATGTTTAAAAATTATTTCAAAAATAATTTACAAAAAATCATGAAACAGATCCAATTGAAACAACTTATACTTGCCACATAAAGGTAACAGTCATTGCAGGTAATTTAATTTTATATACTTTCTTGACTTATATAGCCAAACTTATGAAATAAATTGTATTTACTTGACATACGTTATTACATGAATCAAAGTATGATTTTGGAAAGTAATAATGATCTTCTGAAACTTGACATTTTAAGTTTACCTGCATACAATTCTGGCACTTAAAGTACAAAAAAATTAATTTATAATATTCTTAAATTCATTTAACCTATAAAATTGAATTAACAATGAATTACTAGCTGGGTGTGGTGGCACACATCTGTAATCCCAGCACTCAGAAGCTGAGGCAGGAGAATCACTGTGAGTTTGAGACCAGCCTGGTCTACAAAGTGAGCTGAAGGCCAACCTGAGCTGCACAGCAAGACCCTGTCTCAAAAAGACAAAACAAACAAACAAAAAACAAAACAATGAATTACTATTAAAATACTATCTCTTCTCTATTCTGTTAAGATTCTCTAATGCCTACCTATGAAATATGTATGTAATGAAACCATGCCATGTCAATTTGTTGTTCTGTAAAATGGCACTATACTTGTAAGTCCATACTTCTATTACTTCTTTCTCATAACCAAGAATACATACATGAACCTACTCTAGCAACAGTCTTAATTGGCCTGCCAGTTAATAGAAAACCACAGTGTATACTACACATGCCAGGTAAGTTCTGCTGTCTTAAGGAACCATAAAAATGGATTTGGGAGCTACAAGGCAATCAACTTACTCTACTCCACATTAGCCATATCAAAATTATCCAGCTGTCACATTTCTAAACACCTCAACCACTTCTATTTCATAAAGTAGAAAGCAAGAAATCAAAATAAAAAATAAGTCTCTATTGAGTAGTGAACAATATTAGATGCCATTTACTTTTCCTTTGGAGTAAATAACTCAATCTTCAAGTCTAAAAAGAAATCAGAATTGTGAGTAAAGTAAGGTCTAAACTTTTATTCACATGATTATCTGGTTGTCTCAGAATACCTTGCTTAGGGGCTGGGGATTTAGCTCAGTGGCAAAAGCGCCTGCCTGGCAAGCGCAAAGTCGTGAGTTCGGTTCCCAGTACCGGAGAAAAACCAAAAAAAAAAAAAAAGACCTTCTTTCAGAATACCTTGCTTAAATCCTTTCCACTCCATGGCATATAATATTTAGAAACTGGGTGGGAAAAGGAAGAGAAAACCACGTAATGCAGTGTGAATGCAGTGGGTTAAAAACAGGACTGCCACAAGAGATATAGGAAAAAGACATTTAAAAGCACCATCTAGACTATGTCATAAAGATAATCAAGAATAAAAGTATCCTAAACACATCCAGATCCCTGTATCACCATATTACCACAACACCTAATAAAGAATGTCCGTGAGCTCTTGGCAGACAGGAAAGGTTAACATGCCAAAAATAGCATTTATAAGAGCATGAAATACTTAATACATTTTAGAAAATCCTTCAGTAGAGGCATTTTTAGTATTTTTTTTATTTTTTATAAAGAAGTATCAAAACTGGGTCTCTACGGATGATAAAATAACAGAAAATCTAAGTGTAAGATTCTGAAATATAATTAAAGTTTTCACAGTGGTTCTGTTACAGAACCTTAGATTCTGAAAAAGCAATACAGAAACCAAGGTGAGCCTCCCACTAAAGTGTCAGATGATCCAATAGGCTTTTCTTCTTCAAATCCTTTCCAACAACTTTTATTTCTGCAACTTCCACATCTCCTCAAAGAAAAGTTTTATTTTCAGGATTATCGTATTTACAGAGGACCCTGGTTGTTTATAAAAAAAAAAAAAACAACCTTATCCATTTCTACTGTGTTAAATTCTGTATAGGAAAAACTGTCTTCCATTCCACTGATAGCATTATAGAAATTATTTAAATGTTAATTATTGGTTCCAACAATTATTATAGTCTTCCACAAAGGATACGTTACTGATCCTCGGTGCTTTCATTACCTTATTTAGCACTTAAGTAATCTGAAAGCAATTTATAAAAATTGTTACATATCAAATTATATATGCAACTTAGTTATTAATATAAATATACCAATATATTATAAATTTTAAAAATTCATTTAAAAATTATACTTTTCCAGCAAAAGTAAAACTTGGAACTCTTAATTTCCTTTAAAAACTACTTTTGGAGCAGGACATGGTGGCATACGCCTGTAATCCCAGCACTCAGGAGGCTGAGGCAGGAGGATCATGGTGAGTTTGAGACCAGCCTGGGCTGGAAAGTGAGCTCCAGACCAGCGTGAGCTACATAGCGAGACCCTGTCTCAAAAAGACAAAAAAAAAACTACTTTTGGGAGCATACCTTTAACATGTGCTTGCTATGAAAAAAATTACTTTTGACCTAGAGATATAGCTCAATGGTAGTGTGTGTACTCACTACCTTTGTACTCAATCCCGGCAACACAACGCTTTTTTACTTTTACATATTATCACTTTTTCTTATTAGGACATGACATAATTAATGATGTGCTAAATGTCCTTGGTTAAATAAAACAACAAAACATAAAATAGATTTATTTAATTCGTCAAGCCCACATTATACACAAAACCAGCATCAGGATCAAGCATTTCCAAGAAATGGCAATGGGCATGTGCAAACTATCTCTCAAAATGTTTTCAAGGTAAACCTGTCAGTCCACCAAAAAAGCCCATCCATCTGCTACAGTTTCACAGCACTCACCTATGCAAAAATGATCTAGGTGTACAAAATATACACATTATTTTGTGACTGTTCCATGCACTCAATATCAATATTTGCTCATGTGATACCTAAAAAAACATAAGAGTAATTAAATACCAAGCAGTGAAGATTGTTGTTGAGTATGTTAAACTATGAGGGGCCACAAACCATTATCTAAGGTTTTGTTAAAGCTCCCCATAAACTAACTTTTGCCCATTTAAATGTCACCTTCATTGGGAATGCCTGTTACCGGGTAGGGGAGGAGGAGAATTGAACATCTTATAGTAAATACAAGTTGCAGAAGTAGACCGGTGACTTGGGGTTTTCTTTTTTTTTGTTTTTGTTTTTATTTGTTTAGGGTCTTTTGGTACTGGGAATGAAACTCAGGGCCTCCCACCTGCCAGGCAGGCACCGTGCTGCTGAGCTGCATCCCCAGCCCAGACATTTTGAATGGAATAAATTTTGTGCTTTATCTAAAAGTACGTTTTATATCATCTTTGAGAGTTTTATATGCTTATTTAAATCCAGTGGAAAAATCTCTTGAATAACAAACTATATTCCTTGAAGATACTGGAGAAATGAATTACTAAGTATCCAGTTTCTCATAATTATCACCAACAAGAGAAAATGCAAATAGAGCTAAAAGAAGAGGGATTTTGTTGTATACAAATGAGGGAAGAAGAGGGGAAAAAAGTGAGGTTAGTTTTTAATCTTACTCTAATTTTGAATACAAATCTAGCAGAGTACTTTTATGCAGTTACTACTATAAAACATTTTGATATTTCAACTTAAGAATTACAACTACGGTATTGTATGGGTTTCCAGCTACTTGTTTTACACAATCAATGAGTTTGCTTATATATTATCTACTTCTAAATTTGTATAGAAACAGGTACCTGGATTCCTAACTGCTACAAATTAGAAAACCATCATGATAAGATAGTACTTGGTTCACATTTAACTCTCGAGATTTTATATTCCTGATGAAAGAGCATGACTGATCAACTGCCACAGAGGAAACTAAACTAAAAGGGAGAGTAGGAATGCTTTGTTGCTTTTGTGTAATTAAGAAACATTTCCCCACACAATACTGTATGGACATCTTCTGCCACATTCTCGAAGAACTTTAGAACTATATTACAAAACAGTCTGCTAAAAATAGCTAAGTCAGATTATGTTCCATTCAAAATTTAAGGTATCTAGTAGTCTGAAAAAGTAGCCCATAATACAAGTATTCTAACACCAATAAATCTTGTAAATATATACATGATAGAAATTAAATATGAATACCAGAACATAACCGCAAAAAAAACCAAAATCACCAAAATTGGGATGGGAAATCCTTCTACCTTTTTCAGTGAATACTAATTATTGACAAATATTTTATATGTAGATACATAGATACATATATACAGCAAGACCTTTTATCATCCCTACATCAGAACTGATATTAGAATTAGACATTGACAATAATTCTAATAACTCATATTCTGCTCATTTAGTCATCTAAGGGTCTAAGAATGTACGTTCATCATTTACTATCACAGTATTTATAAAAATACATTTGTTTTGAATAACAGTGGTATTAAAATTAATAAGATACATTATTTTTATATCTTTTCTTTCCTAGGAGCTAAGTTTTTTTGGGTGGTAATCCTTTTGTGTGAACCCAAATACCTTGTATTTAAGTAAGAAAAGAAACATTGGTGGGAAATCTAAACTTTTTTAAAGACAGATACACTGTCTTTCAAATATAAAGTGCAAGCTAGATAAATATATCTTATTTTTAAAAGACCATTTAAGATGAACATGTAGCAAATACTAATTATTATAAGGAGGATAAGAAGAAAAAGAAGCAAAGTTTTCTAAACAGTAATTGAAGAAAACCTATCAACAGGAGAATCAGAAAGTCCTTACCTCCCTAGCTAAAGGCAGTCAACTACTTTACTAGTGTGTATTTTCAAGCAAATACAGAAGCAAAACTCATTAGCTCTTTAAAAAATACACACATTTAATGTTGGTCTGTTTTAATTCTAAGTAAAGCAATTCCAAAAATACAAACTGAACATCAGAGCCATGTGAACCACCATGATAAAATAAAACAGACATTCACAATAATTACGTCTAAAGACAGTTCAGCTTGATTAATCGTATTCCAAGTATGGTAAAGAAAGAGATTACTGAAAAATACTGCTGGTGTTCAGTTAGAATTAAAGGACTTTGGGGAAAATGAAATAATATGATACAAGTGGAGTGTAAAAAGTTACACGGGATTTACATTTTCCATTACCCCTAGATATAAACAAACATTCAAAAATCAACACAAACTCTGTGTGTTATTCAAAATATTGCAGCTGCAAGAAAGGCAACTTTAAATTAATAGCTAGGGGAAAATCAAGTTTTGGTGGAGGTAAACAGAAGTGACAGTTTTTAATTTGCACTTTTGTAAAGCTCATTTATACCTGGTAAACCAGGAACCAAATGCAGGACAATGAAGTTCTCTGCTTCTTTTGGCTATAATGTGAAAAGAAAAAGTCATCTTTTGAAGATGTGGAAAGAAATAAAGCAACTTTCTTTATAAACAGTCAAATAATCAATTAATGGAATAAATAAGTACTAACCCACATTTTTACCACTGTCATCGCTACTCCTTACATATTTTTCATTTTGGCAGCAAATTTACCAATTTTTTGTCTAAAATCCACCAATCACTTTTAAAAGTAAAATGTATAGCCACCAAAATAAGAATTATTCTTCTGTTTACTCTTTGGCTAAGAAACAAAACAGAACAAAACAAAAAGAAACAGAAGACAACTCTAACACTGGTGATAAAAGAAACTGTTCTTTTCTTAAACATGTAAAATAAAGTTATCAATTTAAATCTTGGTACATTTTATAAAAACAAGAGGTAATGTTGTAATAAAACAGCAGAAGCCTCAGCTGGCAACATACTGTTTGTTAACCCTGTGCAATAAAATACTTTGTTCATACTAATTTGAACATGACTAACAGTTACTACAGACATTTCAGGAATCTTCACCTGACTCCCACAGACTTACTGTTAAAACTGAGAGACATTTACAATCATAATGTGCCATGAAAACTTGAAAACGTTACTTCTGGTAGGAAATAATGTTGTTATTTGAATTTGTTTTAGGTACTGAACAGCTGAGTTACAAGGACTGAAAGTGAAAAGCATTCTAAAAGCCCATGAACACTGTTGTTCACACCCTTCTTCAGTACACACTAAACTTGTCTGACACATTTCTCTTCATACATAGCAAGCAACAGCACCCAATAAAAGCCTGAGAAGAAATGCTGCTGTGTAAATACTGCAACTATTCCTGAAAAAAGAATTATGGGATATATACTCCAAAGCTGCCCATTCCCATAATTTGTATTGCATAGGTCACATAATCACACACATATATATACACATATGTGTATATATATGTACATGCAAAGAATATATTAAGACGACAATGAAGTCTAGTCACAGAGCAATTTACAGGCTCAATATATTTTTTACACTTTGCTTGAAAGAAAATTTCAGTATTTTACAGTCTTTCGGTAGGCATTATATACACTGCACTTTAGGAAATCTAAAAGGTATATTGAAATAAATTTTTTTTCCCAACATTTTGGTATAACAAAACAGACAATGCTTCTCCAAATACTTGTGCTATCTACATGATCTGTTTGCTCTGATAACCACTAATCACAAAAACTGACTCAATGGAATAATTAGAAAAATTATCTAACACCATGCATGGGTTTGAATCATTTTTAATATCCTATCCTAGAAACATTCTACAAATCTTACAATTTAAAAAATTAAGTCTCTGTTCTGATTTTTAAAAGATATCTTTTTTTGACAATATCCATAACATTGACAAGTACATGTTAAGGCTAGTATCATCTCTTTTGTGAATATTTTGTTTGTTTTGTTGTTGTTTTTTAAGAAACACAGTAAAAGCCAGGCTCCTTTAGGACTTTGAAAAGGACCTACAGAAACGAGTGCAGTGAACATAATATTGAGTCCTACAGTCAGGATGCAGTTGCTCCTTCCCATTCCACAAGATACTGCACCTTTCCGTCAAGTGTCACCCGACGAGCCAAAACTCGGTACTTTTCGCCACATGCTATTCTACCTGCAGCACCAAAATAACTAGTAATGGAGTTTTTCAAATGATTGAGCTGTAACTCTTGATCTGCTAAGTTATTCAGAATCTCTGTGTTGAGTTCTTCAAATTGATAATCTTCTTGGCCTTCATCGTCTTTTACAATTTCTGAGTTCTGAGTCTGGAGCGCTCTTCTTGGAAGACGACCTCTTCTTCTACGCAAATGTGGAATTGCAGCAGGCCAAGATCTACCTGTGCGAGTTCTTTTTCTGGAGTCAGATAAGCTATGAAATAGAAAAGGCCAAAATTGTCAACTAAGTTTTTAAAGCATCCTTTGTCCACATAATATGTCCTGCTTACTTTTACATCACTCTAATTATATACTCTTGATGACATAAAAACCTGGGGCTGGGGATTTAGCTCAGCAGCAAAGCGCCTGCCTGGCAAATTGCAAGGTCGCAAGTTCCATTCCTAGTACGGGTGTGCGGGGGGGGGGGGGGGGGGGGGGGGGGAGACAAACTAATGCCACATTAATCAACTATCATTTGTTTTGTTTTTATATTTTTTCTGTTTGTCTTTTTGAGACAAAGTCTCACTATGCAGTTCAGGCTGGCCTTGAGCTCACTTTGTAACCCAGGCTGGTCTCGAACTCACAATGATCCTGCTGCCTCAGCCTCCCGAGTGCTGGGATTACACTACAGGCGTGCACCACCATGCCCGGCTTTGTTTTAAATTTTTTTTGCTTTTTTTTTTTTTTTTACTTGTTTTGTTTTTTTACTTGTTTTGATGTACTTTAGATTTCATCACCTTAGGGCTGACCTTGGTAGACTTTTACTCACTTAACAGGGTACTACTATTAAGCGTTAAAGAATCAGAGCAAATACTAAGCTAGGAGGTAAAATAAGCAAATTCTTACCAACAAGCGGTATGTCAGATATTGTCAACTATCTCACTGAAAATAAACACCATTCTTTCCTTTACTGACCCAGATATTGAAAAAGCACCAAGACACTTTTCCATATGCTTAAATACTAAAATTAAAGGCACTCTTATTACAAGTTCTAGGCATAGTAAAGTAAAGAATATAATGGGCATAGTAAAGTAACAGAATATAATAATCACAAATTAGAAGTCAAGGTGCCCTAGGTCTACCTCTGACGGTACTACTTGGCCAAATTGGAATTTCTTACCCTCTGTGTTCACTTGAAACACATAATCATTAGTTTTTTTCCCCTACAGAAATACAATGATTTTATAATCTTATAACCAAAGAATCTTGTACCAAAGAAAGAATGTAACTGTTAAATTCAATAAAATCATACTTCTTGAGGTAACAATTCAGTGCTGTTATATTTGGTAAACATAATACTGGGCTTGGCACAAAACATCCTTTACATGAAAGTCTCAGATTCTTCATCTAAAAATGGGAATAACAGGACATGGGTTTCAAAAAAATTTTTTTATTTTAAAAATTACATCAGATTATCTACTTAAATAGCTTTATAAAGTACAAAGCAAAAGAACAAAAAATATCTCACAGTATTATCATTTACTAATAACCAGGTTATACTTTATCCCTTTACCTTTAAATTTTAGGCGGCAGGGATCTCCAGCCTTTGGGCCAGACCCCAGCTGCGCGGGCGTCTGGAAGGCGGGCAGCCTGTGCCAGGGAAGCCATGCCGCAAGGAGCTCTGGCCTTTGGGCGGAACCCCAGCAGGAACCTCAGCCACAGAGGTGCCTAGGAGGCAGGCAGCTGGTGTCCGGGAAGCCACACAGTGACACGCGCTGGCCCTCATGCCAGCCACTGCTGCGTGGTTGAGAACTATCATGGCCCAGAGAAGCAATGACACAATTGGCCCATCACGTGCCGGCTGCGGAGGCCCACCTGGGGATGTGTGTGAATCATCCCGACATGGAGAAATCCCTGGGAATACATGCCACACAACGAGTTGCTCTGGCCCCTGCCGTTGAGAACCAGAAAGGTCCACAGCAGAGGAACAGCTGCTGAACAAGGACTCGGAGAACACAAGAATATAGACTACGCCCGAAGACTCAGAGGTGTAGTTGACCAGGGTCACAAGAGCCATTTGGAAGCTAGAAACCAAGAAGACCTTGCGCAATACCTGGGGAGAACCCCTGGAAGTCATTCTTCCCCAACAGTACAGGCTGTGGTGGAGCATGTAGTGCTCCGGAGAGGCCTGCACCGAGACTCCTGCTGCCTGTGCTGACAGTTGGGGAGAGGACACTATGTGGTTGTGGAGTCCCAATGCACTCGGAGGCTGGAGAGAAAAAGCTACAAAAAAATGGCTTTCACCCCAGATGGCTCACTTGAGATGTTAGTAAGGATTGCCTCCTCAGTATTCTATAGCCGTGACAAGGAGGCCAAGGAGAGAAAACAAAGAGACCAAGAAAATGCAGCTGCTTTTGCTGCAGCACCAAGAGAAACAGACCCTAAGTCTGATTCTCGAGGGCCCAAGAAGAACTCGACACTACATTCATGTGCTACCACTGTTAAAAGCCAGGCCACCTCAAGAGGAACTGCCCTAAAAAGCCCCCTGGGCCATGTCCTGAATGCAAAGCTGACCACTGGAGATCGGTCTGCACTCTGAAGCAGAGGCCCCAGAGCTCAGACCCATCCAGTCCAACAGGAATGAGGGGGCCCAGGGCATACTCTGCCTTCTCCCTCTGGCCAGACTGACATGTCCATGGAGGTGCCCTGGGTAATCATGACTACGGAGGAAAAAGAAAACAGCCTGTTGCTAGTCACAGGTGCAAGTCTCTCGGTCCTTCTTTTCAATCCTGGCCTTCCTTCTAGCCGACACACCTCAGTGAAAGGAGTCACTGGTGAGGAGGTAATATGCTATTTTTCACAACCCTTAGGCTGTAACTACTTGTTAGATCTTTCTTGTGTATCTCTGTCTTCCTGAGAAACCACTTTGAAGATACAACCATGTATTACAGCAGCCATTGATATTTTCCTACTAATCTGTCCATAACTCTAATGTTTGTATTGTTCCTATGCTATTTCGTAAATGGATGTATGTTTATTACTATGTGTTTCCAACAACAACCATTGAGAATAGTCAATGATTATTTAATTGATCACTCATGTATAGCTCTATTTGTTTTCTCTAGAAACCACTTTGAAGATACCAAAGTATAGTAAAACAACCACTGATAATTTCCTACTACTTCTGCTGTAGCTCACTATTATTTGTCTGTTTTCCTGAGAAACTATCTTATAGATAACAATATGTAAAACAACAACCATTGATAATTTCCTACATGTTGTCTATAATTCGGTAAGCCCCCTATTACTGTTATCCTTCTTTTACTCTTTAAAATAAAAAAAAACTTAATTTTAAGAATTTACAAGAAGTTTTTGAATTATGATTAAGAATTAAAAACTGGCAAGTGCAAGGTCTTGAGTTCGATTCCCAGTATAAAAAAACAGGATTAAAAAGAACACTTAAAACTTGGAAACTTAAAAAAAAAAAAAAAATGAAAACTATGATTCTACACCAGTTAGAATGAACTTCTCATATCTGATATGATGTGCTATAGGAAAAATTTGACAAGCTGGATTACAAGAAATACTAAAAGACACTAGTGGTTTTTTTGGTTTTCTTTTTGGTATTGAGACGGGATCTTAATATGTACCCATGACTAGCCTTGAATCACAATCCTCTTGCCTTAGGCTCCACAGCATAGTACTTTTACTTTTACAAAAGAAAATTCTGAGTTTAAAATCTCTTTACTGATAAAAACAGGTATGTGCTGGATTCCTACTTAAAAAAACAAAAAGCTCTTTAAGCAAGGTGTATTTGTATAGTGCAAACATTAAACAACCTATCCTCTTCAACATCCATAGATAAAATTTCCTAACGAATTTAAAAAACCTTATGTTTGTAGGCAGCAAAAATACTCTGATGAATATAAAAAAATTTAGTGAATCTACCTACACATGGACTTTCTCTCAAAAAGCACATCTGTATCAACCACAGTGGGTAAAAAATTATTCAATCATTACTTCACCATGAAAAATAATCTAAAAGAAAATTAATAAAGAAGAAGAACATAAAAAACGTACCCATAATGCCTGGAAATGCTAGACGAGGTAGTTTCTTTTGTACTGGAAGCACCCGTGAAATCCATATCTGAGGTATTAGATGAATGTGCAGTTCCCTCAGTTATCCTGAGACAGAAGAATTTTAAGTGGTGTAACAACCATATTACACAACAACAGAAACACTAATTTCTCCTAAAAAGACTCCTAGAAAGAAGAAAAGAACTTTCTATTTACCCTATGGAACAAGGTAAATCCAAAGCAGGATTCTCAGAAACTGATTCCTTATCCTGGAAAATTTTAAAAATTCAGTTAAAACATAGTTCTACAGTAAGCAGAAAAAATACTAGCTTCTTAGTAATTTCACATGTCTCTCCTCTCTAAGAACAAATACCAACAACTCCTCTTACCAAAGGTGGCTCAGCAGTTTTTTGTATCATTTTTCTCGTATATGGGCCAGGGGGACGACCTACAGATTTTTTCTTTCCTTTTTTTTCAATTCCATTGCTTATATCTCTGAAACAGAAAAGCATTATGTATTTAATTTCTGCAAAAAGAAAAACAAAAAGAAAATGATTTTACATATGTAATTAGACATATATATTTTACATTTTTATATTAATAGTAACATGAAAACTCGTAAGTTTAGTCAACAACGTAACATGTCTTAATTTTAAATATTTAGTAACTTATTTACATGTGAAGTTTAAGTAAAAAATTTTCTCTTTAATATAATTCTGGAATATACATACCAACTAAAGATTTAAAGAAAATAATCACAACCAACCAGACAACCATACCAAATGGAAGATTTTAAAACTTCTAAAAGTCTGATTATTTAGTTTAGGTTGTTACTTCATGGGGGAGTGTTTTCAAGAATTTACTCTGAGAAAAGGCTGAAATTAGCAGTTGGCCTCATGGAAATATCAATGTTAAAATTATGGTAAATTATCAATAAAGGTTGTCTACACACGCACATACACACACACACAAATAGTTCTAGACTGACACACGGAATGAAGGCCAAGGTGGCAGAATGTAAACAGGAAAGAGTAAGGAATCCTTCATACTGACAATAAGTCTTTAATATAGGAAACTCAGAAAGACTTAGAAAACAATTTTTGAAATAGCTAAACATCAGGCAAGAGAAAGGAAAAGACTGCAATAGTCAAGGACAGCTCTAAATGAAAGAAAAGAGGCAAGTAGCAATATGCACAACATGTATTTAATTTATGCATCAAAAAGTAGCTACCTTAGAAAGAAGGTATTAGATAATAGGGATAATAAAGCTGTTCCCCATCTTGAGGTTCATAATATACTTAGAAGTTCACAAATATATACACAAGCAAGCTAATAAATGCAGTGATATGAGAAAATTATCAAGGAAAGTTCAGTTTAAAAAACAAAGAAAAAGAAAAATACTACATAATAGGTTAGAAAGAAGTAAAAGAGAACTAAGGAAATGCTGACTAGCTGACAAACTAAGGTCAGGGAATAATAGTGAAAATACAAGGAAGGTCAAAGTAGGGGAAAAGAACAAAACATAACGACGAAAAATCAAGTCTCAAGGATAAGATGGATGGGACACACATTTTTTTAAAAGATTAACATAACATTTATAAGTACCCTTATAATACTAGAAAAAATACTCTTAGGCTGAAAGAACCAACTCACACATAGGGTTCAAGAACTGAGACTGAATTTTAAAAAGGTTGAACTCCTAGCTGGGCGTGGTGGCGCACACCTGTAATCCCAAGACTTGGGAGGCTGAGGCAGGAAGATCACTGCAAGTTCAAGGCCAGCCTGGGCTATAAAGTGAGCTCAAGGCCAGCCTGAACTGCATAGTAAGACCGTGTCCAAAAAAAAA